CATCATACGACAGGCATGTAAAATGTGATGTGACATTTTTATATGTTTGTGTGCAACTTTTCCATAGGGGTTTGCTGTGTCCAAGATGACTTCACCTGTCTGCTCTCGTCTGAAATCCAGGCGATGCGGACTGGAGTCAATACTTGCTCAAAGGTGAGTCCTTTCTGTTTGTGATTAAACAGAAAGAAAAGTCTTTGCTCGCCACACAACTTTTTTTCTAGACAAAAATATGCTGGACTCTTCATGGTATGAAAAAAGTTAAAACTGGGCTATCTTGTTGAAAAATAACGCAATTGTCCCAAAAGATCAACGGTATTATCATAAACTTTTGTGAACAAAATGGACATCTACATGCTTTGTTCAAATTATTCCTCTTATTATAAAGCATGTTAGATTGTGTGTAAGAAAGAGCCCTGTGACTCACTATTTGACACTTTGGGCTGAGAGCTGATTAAAGGCTGAGTAAGGGTTGTCCTCTTTTTTCTCTTTTCTGTCTGAAAAAGTTGATCAAAAGATGTGACAGAGGTCAAAAATAAATGGATGTGGAAACTAGTGAAAGAACCAAACTGTTTTGAGCGCAAGGAACTAGTGACATGGATTTCATGATATTGTTATTTTGTAATAAGTACAGCATTAAAGAACTGCTGGTTGTATTTTATACATTTTGCATATTGTTGTCCAAATAGAGTTTGTTTTCATAGTTGCTGACTGCCATTACTTGGATGGAAGGCTTTTGTTTTGTGTCAACAGCCAGGCCTGAGAATAGCTCTGGTTTCACAGGCTATTCTCGGCCCCAGAGGTCAACTGGTATATTATTAAACAGTAAGTGGACAGATAGATTCAGGCCAAGAGACCAGGACTGTCCCAGGACTGTCACAAGATTGGATCCGGAACGATCCAGGATTCTTTCAGCAATGTTACAAATGGATTTCTGATTAGTAGTGAGTCTATAAAACATGATCCACATTTGTAGATTACAAAATACAAACCCACAATAGCCTCAGAAAATCCTCAGAAATGTCATAATCCTCCCATGTATAATGCACTTGTAACTTAATCCAGAAACCCCCTATAGTCACAGTTCCATTCCTGATACCACAGATGTTCTGAGTAGAGCTACCTCCAGGACCAGTGCTTAGGTCATAGAGGAATGGACTAACCGTGTTCTGTGTTCTGATGTCACTCATAGTGTTTGCTGAATGCATCTGAAGAAGATGATTAGAAGAGCGGCCATATTGGCTAGTTTCGGATTTAATTTTCCTATTAGGCTGGGGTGACCTGTGACCTGACCTGATTTGCAGCAGGGGCAGATGCAAACACAGATAGAAACACATTTTAAAAAATAAAAACTCACTCCACCCGTTTGGACTGGGTATGTCGGGAATTTCTTAATAAGGGCAATCTATGAAATACTTATAAATGTATGATGTTCAGCAATATTTATAGATTGTAGTTATTTGATACAGTGGGGCAAAAAAGTATTTAGTCAACCACTGACTACACTTCAACTGTGAGAGACAGAATGTGAAAAAAAAATCCAGGAATTCACATTGTAGGATTTTTAAAGAATTTCTTTGTAAATTATGGTGGAAAATAAGTATTTGGTCACTTCAAACAAGGAAGATCTCTGGCTCTCACAGACCTGTAATTTCTTCTTTAAGAAGCTCTTCTGTCCTCCACTTGTTACCTGTATTAATGGCACCTGTTTGAACTCCTTATCTGTATAAAAGACACCTGTCCACAGCCTCAAACAGTCAGACTCCAAACTCCACTATGGCCAAGACCAAAGAGCTGTCGAAGGACACCAGGAAAAGAACTGTAGACCTGTACCAGACTGGAAAGAGTGAATCTACAATAGGCAAGCAGCTTGGTGTGAACAAATCAACTGTGGGAGCAATTATCAGAAAATGGAAGACATACAAGACCACTGATAATCTCGCTCGGTCGCAAGATCTCATCCCGTGGGGTCAAAAGGATCATGAGAACGGTGATCAAAAATCCCAGAACCACACGGGGGACCTGGTGAATGACCTGTTGAGAGCTGGGACCAACGTAACAAAGGTTGCCATCAGTAACAAACTACAACGACAGGGAATCAAATCCTGCAGTGCCAGACGTGGCCCCCTGCTGAAGCCAGTGCATGTCCAGGCCCGTCTGAGGTTTGCCAGAGAGCACATGGATGATACAGCAGAGGATTGGGAGAATGTCATGTGGTCAGATGAAACCAAAGTAGAACTGTTTGGTATAAACTCAACTCATCGTGTTTGGATACTGAGTTGCATCCCAAGAACACCATACCTACTGTGAAGCATGGGGGTGGAAACGTCATGCTTTGGGGCTGTTTTTCTGCTAAGGGGACAGGACGACTGATCCGTGTTAAGGAAAGAATGAATGGGGCCATGTATCGTGAGATTTTGAGCCAAAACCTCCTTCCATCAGTGAGAGCTTTGAAGATGAAACGTGGCTGGGTCTTCCAGCATGACAATGATCCCAAACACACCGCCCGGGCAACGAAGGAGTGGCTCCGTAAGAAGCATTTGAAAGTCCTGGAGTGGCCTAGCCAGTCTCCAGACCTCAACCCCATTGAAAATCTGTGGAGGGAGTTGAAAGTCCGTGTTCACTTTTCTCGAGAAGATCTGCATGGAGGAATGGACCAAAATACCAGCTACTGTGTGTGCTAACCCGGTAAAGACCTATAGTAATTGTTTGACCTTTGTTATTGCCAACAAAGGTTATATTACCAAGTATTGAGTTGAATTTTTGTTATTGACCAAATACTTATTTTCCACCATAATTTACAAATACATTCTTTAAAAATCATACAATGTGAATTCCTGGATGTTTTTTTCACATTCTGTCTCTCACAGTTGAAGTGCACCTATGATGAAAATTACAGACCTCTCATTATTTTAAGTGGGAGAACTTGCACAATTGGTGGCTGACTAAATACTTTTTTGCCCCACTGTATGTATTTGTAGCGTAACTAAAAGAATAATAATAAAAAAGTAGGATTGAAACAGGACTAAACCCCCCACTACATCCTTAATATATTAGCCAATACCAATAATAACATGCCATGCAAGATTAACTTTTAGTTTCATATCTGGGGGTGCCTAACAGTAAGAGAAGGAGAAAATAATCCCATAAGAAGTAAATTAGCCGTAGAATAATTACTAATCTTTTTTTCGCAGAACTTTTTATCATTTGATGTTAACAGAAGAAATACATGGCAGTTATATGAACACAAATAATATTCAATTCAATGTTTTCTTGTATAGCCCTAAATCACAACAGTAGTCATCTCAGAGGACTTAACAAAACTGTTTAAATCACCAACACAGATCAGAGAATCAAACAGTTCAAACACAAAACTATAGAACACAGGTATTGGTCCATAGAGGTCGACCAAAATCCATGAATGTTGATAAATGTCCATAAATGTAGAATGGTAAAATACACGTATATAGCTATTACTTACCCAACAGTGGGAACAACTCATAATACTCATAATATAAAGACATTGGACCTTATACCTTATATTATTATATTGGACCTTATACCTTTTTACAACATAGCGTTTCCTCTTTCATGTTCAGGAAGTTCATGACCGAACAGGTGCTGCCTGTTGTAACCAGGAAAGAATCCAAGGGAACTAATATCCACTTTATTATGAATCCTCAATATGGAGAGAACTGTCTGCCTGCGCGTTTCCAAACTCACAGGCAGACAGTTGTGTTTGTGTCGGAGTCAACTGTTATATGACCCGCAGCTTGACCAAAATAACCTCTGACACCAAGTAGTAAGGCATACACATACATTACCACGACTGCATTTATAGAAATAGATGTTACTGCTGTTTGAAGGGGAAGCACAACTCACTGTCACTGTGCGCTGCTCCAGTCCGCTATAGCCCGAGCGTCCTTCTTAACGCGCGGAGAAACCGGCTTGAGCTTGAGTCGTGTGTTGAGTGCGCGTCTGTGTTTGTGTGCAATGCAGATGATGTTGAAACACGGAAAGGGTGTTCTATTTTGGGGTTTCAGTTTATAAGAAATCCTGTCTTAAACTTTTAAATTTAGATGCAATGTTTTTGAGACTTTTCGTATAATTCCTATAACTTTTTTTCATTTTGAAAACTGGCACGGGTTTAAGCATTTATAATTAAAATAACAAATCCATGCTTCTAAAGAGACTGAATTTTTATTTTCAATTATACCCCAGTTTTTGTAAAGCACTTTGTGATTGTGAAAGGAGCTATAAATAAAGATTACTTACTTACTTACTGGACGACTAAGACACCCTCAGTTCAAGACCTTGAACTGCTTCGAAGGAGCGCTACCGTAGAGCCTTCAATCCCACCGCTGTCAGATTGTACAAAGTCACTTAATGACCTGCACTAGGATTGAAAACTTGCATTGCTTTAGTCCCTTTTATTTTCAATTGAATAAAAAATACCTTGCATATCTTTTTCACAATTTAACATGTTCGCACATTTCAAGTCTTTTTGCACACCCTGTGTGATCCTGTTCATGCGAAATGTGACATGCAAATTTCCCCATTGTGAGATCAATAAAGTTTTCATCGTATCTTTTTCTATGTAAACTAAGAATCCCATTTCTAATCCAGTCACTAGACACTGGCTGACAGACAGACAAATAGTTAATCGATCCCCGTCGGGAGAAATCAAGGTGTCCAACTTCGGAATCACATTTCACATTTAATAAAAAGACTTAATATTTATTTTCATACAATTATATCCTAGTGTTCCTCTTTTTGCCTACGGCACAACATTGAAGTGGAGGATTCCATCATCCCCCCCTTACTGAACGTGCATGCATACACACACGCACACACACACATGTTTTTACTGCTTTTGTGTTACACCTGAGACACCATTGCTCGCCATGGCTCCTTTGACCACAGCCACATGTCCATTATCACTCTGCAGAAATGTTGCCCATGGATTACTTTCACATTTTCTTGGACACAACATATATAATCCACTAACATGATAGACTCAGATTTGATGGAAGACTTTTTTCTCTTTCTGACAGATCCGCTGTGTCCTCTGTGCCACTCTCACGAAGAATAGTGAGCGTGTTCAGTACTTTGCACAGGATGGACAGAAACCCCCCCAGAGCTGCTTCATCTCTGGGCTTCTGCATCAGCGTCACTTTCACACCACATGTCCCTCGGGCGGTTGCATGGTCTCCCTCGTCTGCGTCCGTGTGGCCGGAGCACAGCAGCTGGCCGAGGATGAGCGTGTTGTGAGTGGAGGGCGAGGACCTCTGTGTGTGTGTGTACAAGTAGCACTTCCAGGGATGGCTGTGGGCCGGCGTGAAAGCCAGCATTTGGATATTGACCAGCTGCAGCGCAACTTTGAGGCCTTGAGGGGAGTGCGCAAGGATCGGAGGACAGCGGAGTAGTTTCTCGACGTGCAAAAAGTCACACTCAGTGGAGTTTGGAGCTCCTAAAGAAGCAAGCACAGGGCAGAGTTCAATGTGGTTAAAAGTACATGGTGTTTCAGTGACTTCCATTCATCTTTTTGAATGTATTTATTTAGCGTCAGTTTTGGAATTATTGGTTTCAAACCTGCACAAAACAGCATATGTTTTCACGTGTTTTATGGTTTGGCTGAAAAAGGCTTGTAATATTCCAACCCCCTCTCACAAATTCGAAGATTTATTTACTTATGTGACAAAGGAAATGTCAGTACTTTGAAGACAAGTAAAAAAGTTTGAATGAATATTATATATTTGCCAATGGGGGAGTCTCTTGAAGCTTCAAAGTCCCATATTTCACTGTTCTTCATGTTTCACAGTCCATCTTAAGCACATGGGCATTTAGTCAGCCACCAATTGTGCATGTTCTCCCTCTTAAAAATATGACGGCCTGCAATTTTCATCATAGGTATACCTCAACTATGTGAGACAGAATGAGAAAGAAAATACAGAAAATCACATTGTTCACAATTCATCTCAATACTTTGTTATATACCCTTTGTTGGCAATGACATTGTTGCAGGTATTTTGGCCCATTCCTCCATGCAGATCTCCTCTAGAGCAGTGATGTTTTGGGGCTGTCACTGGGTAATACGGACTTTCAACTCCCTCCAAAGATTTTCTATGAGATTGAGATCTGGAGACTGGCTAGGCCACTCCATGACCTTGAAATGCTTCTTACAAAGCCACTCCTTCGTTGCTCGGGCGATGTGTTTGGGATCATTGTCATGCTGAAAGACCCAGCCATGTTTCATCTTCAATGCCCTTGCTGATGGAAGGAGGTTTTCATTCAAAATCTCACGAGACATAGCCCCATTCATTCTTTCCTTTACACGGATCAGTCGTCCTGGTCCCTCTGCAGAAAAACAGCCCCAAAAAATGATGTTACCAACCCCATGCTTCACAGTAGGTATGGTGTTATTTGGATGCAACTCAGCATTCTTTCTCCTCCAAACACGACCAGTAGAGTTTTTATTATGGTGTGATCTGACCATATGACATTCTCCCAATCCTCTTCTGGATCATCCAAGTGCTCTCTAGCAAACTTCAGACGAGCCTGGACATGTACTGGCTTAAGCAGGGGGACACGTCTAGCCAGGGCCGGTCCTAGGCAGACGTGTCCTAGGGCCGGCCCTAGGACACGTCTGGCCTTAGGGCCCTAGGCGAAAATATACCCCTTCCACACTTGTAGAGGGCAGCCGACAGCAGCAGGGTTCAATGATGACGATTTTTATTGAGTTTATAGTACACATACATTTTTTTTTTTTCAATCTTACGTGATAGGAAACATTTTGCAGAATAATAAAAAATTGAAACTTTAAATTTTTTTTTTTTTTAAGACTGCAATTTTGCGCCCCATCCTGCAGATGCCCTGGGCCTGCCCTGCGTCTGGCACTGCAGGATTTGAGTACCTGTCGGCGTAGTGTGGTAGCCTTGGTTACTTTGGTCCCATCTCTCTGCAGGTCATTCAATGATTAGAGGTCTTTTCCATTTCATTTGTAGGTCCCCCTGTGTGGTTCTGGGATTTTTGCTCACAGTTCTTGTGATCATTTTGACCCCACGGGGTGAGATCTTGCATGGAGCCCCAGATTGAGGGAAATTATCAGTGGTCTTGTATGTCTTCCATTTTCTAATAATTGCTCCCTCAGTTGATTTCTTCACACCAAGCTGTTTTCCTATGCAGATTCAGTCCTCCCAGCCTGGTGCAGGTCTACTACACTTTTGTTTCTGGTGTCTTGGCTATAGTGGAGTTGGGAGTGTGACTGTTTGAGGTTGTGCACTTTTATACAGATAACGAGTTCAAACAGGTGCCATTAATACAGGTAACATGTGGAGGACAGAGGAGTCTCTTAAAGGAGTTACAGGTCTGTGAGAGCCAGAAATATGGCTTGTTTGTAGGTGACCAAGTACTTATTTTCCACCATGATTTGCAAATTAATTCTTTAAAAATGCGATTTTCTGGATTTTTTCCCCCATTCTGTTTCTCATAGTTGAGGTACTCTTATGATCAAAAATACAGGCCTCCCTCATCTTTTTCAGTGGGAGAACGTGCACAATTGGTGGCTGACTAAATACTTTAGCGCTGCTAACGTGTTTGCTGATATGGAAGAACAGTTATTAAACTCGTTGCCATCAAAGCCCACCCACAACTTCTGCTCTGCGTGTTTCCCAACGCAAGACAGTATGACAGATTGACTAAACTCATGCTGCTGTTATTTAGTGAACGTGCGTCCAAGCATCAGTGGTGGAAATACAGCATTACCTGTCCCCAGGCAGCCCTGCAACATGATGCTCCTCAATCATATTTGACTCTGGGCTCAGTGCACTGAGGGTGAGCAGTGTAGTGCATGACTAATATTAGCTCCGTATATATTGCAGGCATTGCCTCCAGTTGGCTCTTTTTGTACCATTAAAACTCATTTATGAACCCAACACCACCAGGGTGGGTAAACTTGTGATCAGTGTTGTTTGGGTTATTTCTGTTGCGCCATGAAATAAAACACAGATTTCATCAAACACCACCAGCACCACCACAAGTCTGCGTGTTATCATCTCTGAAACATGGACAAATGCATATATAGTGTCAGGGTATGTAAACTAATGTGCCGTTTACACAAGGACGCTGCAACAGTAAAACACTAGAGTTGGGTATCGGATTGGCCTCCCATGGAAGATAGTTCTTTACCCCAACAACAGCTCTTCTGGTTTTCTCTGCTTCTGTGTTGATACATTTGCTGTTTACATAGTGAATTAAAAATGTATTTGGATTTGACATACCTGTGTCTGCGTGGACATTCTGCAACCACAGCTCCTGGAACTTCTCAGGGGTGATGGCTGGAGACACTGAAAGACACACAGCTTCAGCCAGCGACCCATCTGCTGAAGCCAGGGGCCCAGTGCTCTGATCAGCATCTAAAACAAAAAGAACATTGTCGCAGGTCTCTTCAGCTACATCTAGACAATCTGTCATATTTGCAGTCCTCAGAGGGCTCTCTCTGCCCGCCTCAGGGCTCTGTCCGCTTCGAAGCCCATGAATGTGTTCTGTGCAAATGCACTGATGGTGGAGGTGCTTGAAACACATGGTTTTAGAGCCCAGTCAGAAACACAGCTTTAGGTTCAAAACACACTTTTAGAGCCCTCTTAGCTCTAGGTCTAGCCTGGCCTTTGCTATCCGTAAACTCCGGTCAAATCTTTTTTTCCGGGATGTACAAGTACGAGGGTATGGTAAAACCAGGCTACTCTAGGTCCAACTTTAAGCTCCATTTGTGTCGATACAAGAGAAGGTGATTTTTTTCCAAGCCAGGTCAGTTTTTAAAAGTTCATGGAGACTGCCGCCTTTTTCCTGGTGACGATCAGACATGGTCACATGGCACAAACCACCACATTTTTGCCGCATGTCAGAACTGCCCTGTCTGTGCTGCTTGGTGGGTGCTGAAAGCAAGTTTTTTCAGTTTTTCCATAGGGGCCAAGAACGACAACTTTATAGCTGTGACAAAGCATTATTTGCGAGATAGAATTTTTATCGGCCCACACTCAACAATATGAACGTTCTTAAAATATTTTTTCTTTTGTGTTTATTTGATTCCCATTAAATATACTTCTACAAAATAGATCCATGACATCAATCCATTAATTCCAACTAATCAGTTATTAGAATAAACAATCCATCTATGGAAGGTTTTTTGAAGCATAACTTAACATTCATAGGTAAGTTTTTTAGACTCAGATAATTCTGTAATTAATGCTAAATGTGTTAAAGAGTTTTTAATCAAAAAACCCAATGTGTAACAACCTCTATGAAGAGTGTGTGTGTGTGTGTCTTAAAACTCCCTCTCCTCACCAGTGCACAGTGGTTCCTCAGGACAAGCCTTCAGCTCTCGGCTCAGGGCCGTGTGCACAAGCTGAGGACTCGCCCTGATCGATGATGCTGGTGTAGCGGCTTCACACAGCGGCTGCAGCGTGTTGAAGCTATGGGCCCAGCTGCTGACACTGATCTGTGGACGTCCGACGAGCACACCCAGGTCCGGGTCGGTCCTCTTCACCTGCACCAGCCCACGCACCGCTTCTATCCCATAGTGCAGCAGCCGGTAGTACAGCACGGCTTGGTCACGTACACACATGTCGCTCTCCTCCTCTGCCAAAACAAAGCACTTTTAAGCTAAGCAACAGCTGAATGTTTAAGTCCTATTCTTTGACATTAATTTAAGGACACCCGTAGGATCTGCAGGAGCATAAGTTAAGTTTTACAGTTATTGGCAAACGAAGATTAAAGGACAGATGTATAAAAAGTGTACATTCTCCTTATATATTTGAGGCCAGCGCCACTGCAATGCAGATGTGTCATATGTTTGCCATTTTTTCGGTTCAGAAAGCTTTCAATTTGGGTTGATTCTCAGCAGGACCTACGATTCACCATTGATTGTCATTCATTAAGATGCACCAGAGTATTTGTTTAAAAACTTCTACTCTGATAGATGGTCTCGTCATCTACAGGAGTTAGGTAAAAGGTTTTGATGAACCTGCAAATAAACTAGGGCTGTCAAAATTATCGCGTTAACGCACGTTAATTAATTGTTTTCATTAATCGCGTTAAAAAAATTAACGCATTTGACGCATGCCCATGCGTCCCATAATAACACTCAGAATGCCGCGCGTGTGTAAGATGGGGACAGAGCAGGTAGGCCCTCTGGGAATTCAAGTTTTGAAAGAATACACGCGTGACCGTGGGGCACTTGTAGTTTCCTGTATAAACTCTGCATGATGAGCTGCGGGCGCGACAGCGCTCTGGACAGCAGTTCCCACTTCCAGCGGCTGTGATCACGGCGAACGGCGCTGCGTAATGGGATCATATCCAAGACCACGCACAGAACGATTCCAGAACTATTCTCTAGTGTGCGTACGTGTCTTTGCGTAACCGATGCACACAATATGTACAGCGCTGAAGCTGGACTGCGGAGCCTCAGTCTCCTCCGTGTCTTCTCCCGAAGCGCACTCGCTAAATTAAAGCTGAGGTACCTAATTTTCCTTTCGACTACCAGTTCATGTTAGTTGTGCCAAAAAAAGTAATGGTGTGAGCAAATCAAACAGATTTAATGACATTCTGCATTTCAGACTGTTTTGAAATGTCCCTCATCTGTAACAAACAATGGTTTTGATCTGAGTCTAAACAGAAAGACAGAATGTTAATAATGTTAATTCCATTTTATATGGATTTATTGCTATAATAAACAAATACAGTACATATGTTCACTAAGCTGTCATTTATCTTTCCATTCAAACAACAATTTACAGAAAAATATGGCATAATTTTGCCGATAGTTTGAAATGCGATTAATTACGATTAATTAATTTTTAAGCTGTAATTAACTCGATTAAAAAAATTAATCGTTTGACAGCCCTAAAAAAACCTGTCCACAGTTTTAGGACTGGGGCATCATATTGAATTTGTAAGTCAAATCTATTCTTATTTTCATATATCAGATCTTTTTTTTTTATTTCTTTTTTTTGGACATTATAGACATGTGATACTCAGTCATTTTAAAGCTTAAAGTGTGCATAATTCACTTGTTATATTACTGTCCACATACTATTTACATATATATTACATATAATACAGCCAACTTCAGCTCCACCAAGTAAATCATATGCCATACAACATGAATCCAGCTAATGTTTTGTAATCCATTGGGTTGTAATATAATTGATTGTGTACATTTAAAGTTACATTTCTGTATTATTTAATACACAGTACTCTTTGTAAAATCCAACATCAAACATTAGACACTGCGGACAAAATTTGGCCAGTAAAATAAACAATCAGCACAAGCAGACAATGTACAATCAGTACATTTGTTCTGCCACTTGTGCGGCTGGAGCAATATTTACAGTGGGGAAAGTGGTGACAGCGACTATAGTGTGGATGATGACTGATTCATTGGCTAAAAAGTACTCAAGTCTGATTTCAGATTACAGATGAAAGTATTCGCAGAATAGGTGGCTGTATTCACCGATAGAGTAGTGCAGCAGTCGGCCCAACATGTCCTGAGTCTCTGCAGGGCGACACACAAACAGGCGCACGGCCGCAGAGAGCAGCTCCATCTTCACACACACACTGTTCTCCAGACGAATGCCATCGATGAAACTCTCCAGAACATACGGAGCAGAAGGGATGCACTCGCCGTACTCCCCCAGAAGCCAGAGCAACGCCTGCCGGCCCTAGAACACAGCACAAGTCTAAGTCCACTGCAACAGCTAGTTTTAGGACTTGCAACCCCTGGGACCCTGAGGCGCTCCCAGGCCAATGTCCACACACACTGGCCCCTCTTTCACTATCTAGAGCTGCACTCTTTAGTGGACTATATGGTGCACTCCTTGTGGCAGTCTAAACACGCTGCTCACTGTTCACTCGAATACCTAACTTCAACATAACACAACAAAGATATTAATTTAGTTGTTGATCTATGCATTAAGTTTAACGTATTCTTTGTTTATCCCCGTAGGGCAATTTTTCTTCTGCATTTGACCTATCTTGCAATGCCACTGGGCAAACTCCGGCCCGTGGGCTTTTCTATCAGGTCCCCGAGCCCTCCTCAGTTTATATAGAAGTAGTATAAAGACTGTAAAAACCTTTTCTACTGCATGCAGAGCCCTAGATCAGCAGTGGCACTCCAAGCTTTTTAGAACATATGAGATAATATGTAGGGTAACTACTTATATTGCTGATTATGTTATAAATTTAGTAGTGTGGAGCGGCTAGTCTCCGGATCAGAAACTCGCCGTTCCACCAATGGGTCTGTCTTATTTATTTTGGGCACCAGTAGACGTTTGAGGGTCTACGACAGACCCAAACCAACTTTGCCTCGAGTCAGTCTTATAATCAAAAGGTAGTTAATTCGTAAATCGGCCAGGGATATACCGAAATCTAACAACACGACTCTGATAGGATTGAGTTAAAGAAAAGGGGTTTATTGATTACAAAAATGAAGGTTAAAAATATAACGAAGGGGATTTCTGGTCACATTAAAGCAGAAGTGGTATACATTTCATTCAAGTCACACATTTAACAAGAACAGTCTTACTTTGTAGGAGCGTAGAGGATGGAGAAAGGATTTGGGTTGGGGAATCAGCCCACGTGGTTTCTTTGTCTGGGCAGGCGGGAGGTACGAAGCCAGCGGGTTGGTCCAGCTGCTGATCCACGCGTATGCAGCCCAGTCCGGAATGGGTTGCGCGCGTAGAGTCCAGAGCCAAGAAAAAGAGGCTGGTGATGGAACAGTTCATAAGGTCCCGAGCCGAGGAGAGTGTGTTTTGCGGAGTAGGAGGCCCGATGCGTGCTGGCGCGGCCGTATTGGAGACACGTACCGCGGGACGCAGATGGCCAGGGAGAGCTGGAATAGTGATTTCAGGATAGGACAAGAGAGAGTTTGTTGCGTTGTGAGAGTTTATATTGACTTCTGAAGGGGGCGCGTCCTTTGACGTCATCCCTGTGCGACAGCCTCCTCACAACAGGCGGTTTATCAAGAAAAGCACACAAGATCAATACAGTCACCCATAACACATCGTACAAACACACAGTGCATTTACATCACAGACATCAACACACACGAGTAAGGTCCGTAACGTTATCGACATAATATTACAGAGTAATGTCCTTTTCGAGTGTCCGCCTCGGGTGCAGTAGTGTCCAGTGTCCGCTAGGGAGCGCCAGAGCGCCGTGGGGGAGTCTCAGGTTGTGGAATGTCTCATGAGCGATTGCTGATGAATGATTCCTGATCTCCGTCTGGCAGGGGGGCACACAGATGTCCTGTTCTGTTGTTTTATTGCCCCTCTGGGTCTCGTTGTAGTGTTCCTGGTGAATGTTAACCTTTAATTGAACCCGCAGTTGCTTTGAAGTCTCAGGAGCTAGGGAGGGCATGTTTACGGAAAGGGTCTGCTATTCACGCCCGATTGGCGCTCACCTTTTCCTCACCCTACATACCCCCCCCACGGCAGAGATGCACCTTCCGACAAGGTGAATGTCATGTCGGATATGCCGAGTGGGCGTCCTCAATCGGTCGTCTCGCCTGTTCGGGTGTTAGTGCGTGATTTGTGGTGACATGCTACAACATTCTCGCCTCAATGTGACTCAGTAATTCGCAAGCGCCTAACTGGGGCCAGGCTCGTGGCGGTTGGGTCTCGGGCCTCTGGCTTGGTCTGTCGAGGCCGGGTTTTCTCTAAGGCGAGTCCTGGCCCTGCAGGCTAGTTCTAACCGGGATCAGGGGTTTAGGGAGTGAGCTCCGGCCGTGAACTCTAAGGCTTGGGCCGGTGCGCCTGACTCCTGGGTCTCTTGGTCTGGAAGACTCAAAGTTCCAAGCCAAGAGAGTGGCAGGAGTTTCTACTCTAGGGGACTAGGATACAAAAATAGGAAACTTCAAAATCCGAAAAAAGGGGGTGGCTGTCTTGGCAGCGGGTAGGAGCGTCATTGAGGCACTCGATGGTGAGGGGCTCCTATCTTGCTCGTTCTAAAAGGGGAGTGTAAGGGTTACACGAATATATGACGTAGCAAGTGGGGCTTTAATTACGAGGGACATTTCCTGTATATAAACGGGGATGACAGGTATGATTGTCTAGGAGACTGATTAGGCATCGAGGTAGATTGGTTGGGTCTGAGCTGGTGACTCTTAGTGGGGTTTTAGGCCCTTGGTTCACCTTCCGTGATAGAAAGAGTGACCGTCTCGAGTGGGTGACTTTGGAGGTCCTCGTACTCTGACTCGTTGACCTGGGGGCGCCGACTCAAATTGCCACGCTCGACGGCGCTGTCGCCCCGGTTTGGTCGTCTACGGATCTGTCTCGTCATTGCCTCCGTGCACCTGTTAAAGCTATCACGGAGTCGTCTAACCCGTCTATTTAGGACGAAGACCGTGGCTACGGCCAGGCCGTACCCGAGTCCTACCGCGATGGCCATGACTGTATCGGGGGCGGCCCAGGAGTAGGCTACTGGTTGGTGGTGGATGGTCGGTCGCTTGGCAATCTCTTGAAGGAGGTTGTCTACGACCGTAACGTCAACGGTTTGTGCCCCCTCGTAGGTGGCTTGGACGAGGGTGGAGGGTTGAAGTTCCAAGGCCCTTTTCTCAAAGAACTCTGGTACCTCGACCTCCGCCTCGTACTGGTTTGGGTACAGGTGGTATAGTGCCAGGTCGCCTACGTGCAGGATGGCGTCGGCCGGGACGTCGACCCAAAAGGTTTCGTCCGGGAGGCTTACTCGAGACGAGGTGTCATGTTTGTCATAGGTCAGGGTCGCCGTTCTAAGGGGAGTGTTCACTAGCCATCGTGCCCCTACAATCTCTGCTCTGGTTTCGGTTATTTGCTTCCGAGAGGTGACCGTCGCGGGGCATCGACTCCCTGGAGTCATGGGCCTCAGGCCGCAGATGCCATCTGTGCTGTCCCTGACGAAAGGTTTGCTGGGGCAGAGGTAATGGATGTCCTTAGTGAGGGTGCACATCCTTAGATTTGGCGTTAGGTACAAATTGGGGTTGCTGTCGTGGTAGGCTACTATGTCTGGCGTCTGGACTCTGACGTGGGCATTGTCCCTCCAGGTCCCTAGGTTAGTGATCCCTTTCAGTCGGTAGATTTTGTCGCCGGGAACTATTGGTAAGGTGACTAGGAAGGCTACCTCGCGGTCTAGAGGATTAACATAGATGGGGACTGCAGCGCCCAGCGTGTACGCCAAGTGGGCTTGCATGGGTGTTACAGCGTCCCGTGTGGCTACGGCTAGGATGTCCTCAACTAGCGATAGCGGCACGAGGTATGGCGGGATACGGCCCATGGCTAGGTTTTCGATGGAGGAGCTGAGGTGACGTAACATGTCCTCCATCAGTTGTGTGGTCAGCTGAGTATGGGCGTAGTCTAGTTGGAGAACGTCTAAGAGTTGGTTGACCGCAGCGGAGGTGCGTTTAATCGCAACCTCGTGCGTGTTAAGTACTAGCATGGTTCCTTTCAGGGATTTTCCCAAGGTTACCACGTCGTTCTGTTGTTGGTCAAGTCTGGTTTTGACATCCTCGAGCTCAGAGGCCATTTCTTGTTGGTGGCGTCTGAGGGAGGATAGGCTGATGGCGTTTACCGTGGACATCCCTAAGCTAAAGAGGGTGCCCAGGGCGGACGCCGCGCCGAGGAGAGCCCCAATAAATCGTTTGGGTCTGGGGCGAGGGTCACTGAGCTCTGTCCTAGTGATCGTGAACTTCTCTAGTTGCGTCAGCATGTGTTGTATGTCTGCCTCAGCATGCTCCACGACCGTCTGGGTCCAGCGTGCACCTGCCCAATCTTTGAGTGTGACCTTCAAGGGCAGGTTCTTGCGGCAGACTTCACTAGGATTGAGTCTGACAAAGATTCGCTGTGTGTGGAGTCGGACGTCCGTGATGAGGAGCCCGGGTTGTTCCTTTAAAACGATCCCGGAGGCTGGTCCGGTCTCAATAATTTCTGGGGTGCCGAGGCACAGTATGCAGGTCAGCACGAGAAGGAAAGTGGGCCACATGTTCTGCAAGGCGTGAAACAATTGTTAGGGGTTAGACAGAGAGGGGGAAAGAGAGACTCGATTAGTGCAGCCGAGAAGAGTGTTAGTGAGTGCTGGGCTAATCGTGTTTGAGGTCACGTGGTGTGTTCCTAACTGGGGTTTGTAGTGTGCCCTGCTTGTCCCATGGGGCTTTGTTTGTGTGGTTTGGTTTGGCTGTAACGGGCCCATCTGAGGGTGGGCTCTCTACCTTTTGTGACCTCGATTTGGTGCACTGCGGTTGAGAGTTTGTTTCCCACCCTGTATGGTCTTGACCAGCGGGGTAGCGATTTCCGGCGTAGTCTGGTGGGGCCGGTCCCCACGTGTCCTGGGGAGTGTGCCAAGGTGTAATACCATACCTGGTTTTTGACCTGGAGGTGGTCCTGCGGGTCGGTCCTGTATTGGCTTGTCTTCAGGCGCCGGGGGAGTTTCACGTTCTCGTCACTCCGGTTTGGGGATACGTGCCTTAGTATTTTGGTTGCCGTTCGGCCCGTTGTTTCTACCTGTTGTAGTGCCTGACGTGTGTTGTTTATACCTGTTTGTTTCGCGGTAGGTGAGTCATGGGCGTGTGCCAACATTACCCCCCTCATGCTTCGAGGCACCACGAGTACCAACGAAGTGAGTGTATCGGAAGCAGAATCTAACAGCCCATGGCGTATCGGCAGTATTGGCCCGGAGTGGCCCGGAGGTACTG